ATCCAGTCTGGTTTATAAGTCGTAAAAGTTAAATAACCACCTTTTACGAAAAACGGTTTACAAGTAAAAGCCAAGGTGGTAGTTAAACACAATGCGTTGTACATCAGTACTGCCATTTTTAAGAACTTTAGGTATTTCAGGTGTTCGTTCTTCTGTTGTTTGTCTTCGGTGTTTTCAACTGCCCAAAAAAATTTCGTTCTCTCAAGCAAGTCGTGGAGTTCCCTTCTTTTGACAAAGGCAAAAGTTAGTTTCACTATCGCCTAAAAAAATTGTATGAAAATGTATAATGTAACAGCTTTTTAATCAAATGGTCCTGCAGATTTAACCTATTTAAAAGAGATGCTCCTCGATTCTTTTTTCTTTTAAAACTTGGTATACTTGGTCGTAAACGTTAACAGTTACTTATTGGATTAAATAAGTGTATACTTACGTGAAAAGTTAGAAGTAATGATTCAAGTGCATTAGTCACATCCAATATAGTAATTTGTTTTTCGTCGTAAATTAGGTACATTATAACCAGGCAAATAATACTCCATTGAGAAACGAAGGTAATAATAAATAAAGAAATTTGCTTTATACTGTATCCTTTCTTGGGATTTGTACCCACGTACTCGAGCATTGCCAGACATATGTTAAATAATGACAAATACATCTGCAAATAATAAAAATATATATCAACTATTAACGTTGAAATTAGGTACAGTAGAAATTTTTTAACTAATTTTAACAATTCCTGCGCCGTATTGTTTCATATGTAACTTTCAAATAATTATTTGAATTATATTCTTTTAAAATATGTCAAATCAACAAAAAATGTATAAAAACAACAAGAAGTGGAATTGAAATATGTTACAAATGAAAATAAAAAGTGACGTTTCTTGAAATGGATCATAATTTTCAAAAAATTATAATTTCGAATAGGTGAAATTTGAATAGGAATATTTTTCAAAAAAAAAAAAACAAAAAGCTTGATCTCTAATATCAAGTAAAGACTTTACCTCAAAATTTTTCTACCAACTCAGGCGCTACCTCTTATTTAAGTGAAAACTGTCTACACCAGATTAGGTCTATATCGATTCCATAGCTGAACAGATTACGTGATATCCATTTAATTTCTTTTAAATGTGCAATTCATTGCATATACATGTATATACCCTTCCTGGATGTCAATTATTCAAATCTTCTATGCCTGTGAACTAGAATTGAAACTACATTACAATACTTATTCATTAATTTCGTTTCTGGAATCTATTTGAAACTCATCGTCATTTGTTTGAAAGTATTTACATATAAAAAATTGTACTTGAGAAGATTTATAACCCAATCTCCCCCAGTCAGTTACGCTAATGTAAGAGTTGAGGATACCGTCGTAAGTGATTCACTGTCACTCTCCCGTTTATTTTTCAGTCATTTAATTTTCTCAAATTGTAAAAAAATATAGGAAAATTATTTCAAATTTTTTAATGGAAAACTGAAAAAGCACGTATAAGTTATATATTTTAAACATTAATACGTCACTGAAAGCTTGGATGTGCTCTAAACTGTGTCGAATAAATGCTTTCACTTTTTTCCAAATGTATTAATAAATTGAAAGAGGCACTTTTATTTATAAGCAATGATATATGTAATTTATTCATCGAACGTCAAAAAAAATCGAGCTCTCCGATGTGTGATTGAATGTCGACTCTGGTATTTCGCAGTTCAGTAACCAGAGCGGCCAGTGTGTGTATACGAACCGAAATTAAGCGTATTAGTTGCCTTTCGATACATTGAAACTGTCCTTGCTTATTTAGAGGGAAAAGTACTACCAGGGGTTTTACACGACAAGTCCAAGAACCTAAAAAAACAAAAACCGTTTCTTTTACTTTACTTAAACGACACAGTTGCAATGTATAGCACCTTTTTACTTGTGACAGATGAATATATTGTAACAATTTACGATAATAACCTTTTTTGAATTCAGAACATTATTAAAAAATTTGTTGTGAGATCAGCCATCTAGCGCTCAACACGATTACGACTTTTTCTGTCTTCCATGGGATATAGCCAATTTTTACTAGCAATGCCAAAAGGACCCAAAGTCATTGATATAGACAAAGAAGTAGTGAAAAAAAAAACAGCCAAAGTGCTCATGAATACTAATAATCAAAACATTTTGGTAGAAAACGGCTCAGTTGAAAGCCAGTTTAGCCAGTGCCATTCCGAGGATGTATCGGTCCATTTCTCTTATAAGTAAACAATATAAAAACAGCATTTCAAAACATGAGGCTACTTTAAGCATCATGACCGGGTTAAGAGGGTTTTTAGTAATTCAAATAAAATTATTCAATATTATTATCAAATTATTTATTTAAATTTAATGAATAGACTTTTATTCCACACAAAAATATATCTATTTTGAAAATTCAAATTATGGTGAGTAAATGTAGTGTTGTATAAATGTACAATAAAGAAAATAAAAAAGTAGGTATATTAAAATTCATCTTCTAAATATTCTGATGAATTATTTTCGTCTCCTAGATTGATAACGATAAGTTCCACAGTAACGTCAATTAAATTATCGAGTTCCCACATTTTCTCCTCTTCTTTTTGTACATGATGTATACATCTTTGCCAGTTATCTGCAGTTACTCGTTCCAAGGAATTTTTTAACAAAATTTTCACGTCACTTAATTTAAACGTCGTATTATTTCGCACTACATCTCCTTTTACCTGCGCCCAGACTAATTCGATTGGGTTAAGATCACAGTGATAAGGTGGTAACCGTAGTACCGTTATTTGGCGATTTGTTGCCATTTCATCGATAACATATTTTTTCTGATCTTTATTAAGATTGACAAGTGTCAAAAGTTCCTTTTTCACCATATGTGTTCCAAAAGAAATGTTTTTTTCTGGATAACCATTGAATTATATTGGCTTTCCTCCAAGCAGTTGTAGGCGTCCGCTCGGTCTGCCGTGAATGGTAACTGGTACAATAGTCACTAAACACAAGTCGAATTTTACTCTACTGCACTAGCACGTCTTCGTATATTCAGCTCTAAGACTGGATTGATCTGTCACAATACACTGGCTCCTGCCCTATGATGTATCCAATAAAATAATATACTAATGTACCCCCATTACCTGTTAGCATTAGTGTTACCCGATAATTACCTGAAACGAAATATTACCACGCCCATGGCCGGTTCTTATCTCGGGGTTTTATTACTCTCTTTCATTTCCAAACAGACTATAATGATTTAATTTTATTTTAAATATAAAAAGTTTTATGAAGTTAAGAAATTCTCTTTATACATATACTGCAGTAATCTCGGAAGTTTTATCAGCATCTTCTTCAATTTCTTCATCATCAAATTGGTATACAGGTTCGGAAAGTACCGATGGTCCATCTGCCGTTACGTGAGAGCGATAGAGTAAGACATAGAAATCCATACGATAGAGAAGGATGGCTATAATGAAGGCGTCTCATAGTCACCGCCCGTTTCGCCCTTCCACAAATAATATCCACTTCTTATTTGTGGAAGGGCGAAATAGGCGGTGACTATTAGACGCCTTCATTATAGCCATCGTTCTCTATCGCACGGATTTCTATGACTTACTTTATCGCTCTCACGTAACGGCAGATGGACCATCGGTACTTTACGACCCTGTATATTATTTGCAGAAACCTCCAGTTCGTGATCTTCCATTTCTTTATCTGAAGATGTCTTCGTCAAAGTCAATTTCTATATACGCTGATGTTTACGAGAAAAGTAAAGCAAATTAAAAAGTAGTAATTATCAATACGTTAATAGGTCGATAATTAACAATAATTCGCATTTGAAAATGCGATATTTAGACTTTTCAGCTCGCGAGACATCGATTTAAAAAAAACATCAAAATGGGACCACTAGAAGCCGAGATAATCAAAATTTTTATTATATAAGTACTTTTAAAAAAATCGCAAAAATATTGTAATTTTTTTTCACTTTTTTTTTTGTTGTTTTTGCTATATTTGCAATAATTATGTTGTATTTTTTTATTTGAAAATGGGTATATCATATGTAAATTTTAATTACGAATCTTTATTTCCTCTTCTTTTTTTCTCTAAAATGAATAGTTTTTGAACTGTATTGAAGAAAAAGAAAAAAAAATGGAACTGTTTCCAATTTTTTCACTATTTGTTTGATAATAAGTTTAGCACACATTTTGAAGCGCGCCCGTAGTGAAATTATATTTTATTAGGTATATCATATTAGAGCCATTAAAACAAAAATTATATCGATACTATATAAAACATCCGTACATGGGTGTTTTGAAACAGATCGCGCTAGTCTACTAGACGCACAAGCGAAACCATTCCGAGGCATGCGACATGCGATGGACGCATGCAGACACTGCATGCAACAGACGCATGCATCCATCGCACATGCGAAACTAGACCTTTACCTCTCTGCAGAGCCGTTGCAGCGAAAAGTCCCGGCAATACTGTTGGTTATGAGGATTTCGGTGTAAATGACCATCTTATCCAAAATAGATTTTATTATACTGTTTGTCTAAATATGAATTAATGCACAAATAACAACTTTTCCCAATTTTAACGCAGATTTTGTATAAAATGGACTTAGTTTGAAACTCAAATTACTCTTTGTTGTAAAGAAACTTGTAATTTTCTTGTACAGAAGCAGCAAATTACAACAAAAAGTAATTTGAGTTTAATACTAACTCAATTTTATAGAAAATCTGCGTTAGAATGGAGGAAAGTCTGTTATTTGTGAATTGATTCATATTTAGACAAGCTGTGTAATAAAATCTATAAAAATGTATTGCTGGTTGCCTATTTGCTATAGTCTTAAGTTGATATCAAATTTTGGTTCAAAATTTATTAAAACACGAAATTATTCCAAATAAGCGATATCGTTACTTTCCACGTGACCATTTTGAGCGATAAAATGTAGAGTAAAGGGGAAAGGTGAATAAATAAACTACTGTATCATTTAAATTTTTTATTTATATCAGAAAATTTTGTATATATAGTATAATCACTAAAAATAAATATTTTTCATAAAAAACCTATACATATAATTTAAAATTTGAAATCTGCTTTTATGAAAAACCGATTCGGCCTGTATAAATATAGAACAAGAAATAAAGGCGCTGGAATGATTAATATGCCTAAATGCACTCTTTCTAATTTTCCTTTAAATATATACAATTAATAGGCACCATGGTATCAGCTTATTATTGTCATAAATACATGTAAACAACCATTAAACACAAATGGTTAATTTCATATTCTTTTAACACTGTTTAAATTGTTAATTTAATTAAAAACTAATTTGTTTTACTATCTAACTCCATACATCGGCAGACATACGTTTCTGCGTCTCCATCTTCTTCAGGAAGGCCTGGGCTTGCTGTTCAGTCATTTGTCCTTTTTCTTGGATTATCTTCAGTACGATGTTGCGAACGTCAGCTGCCATAGATTTTGCATCCCTAAAAACAAAAAAAAAACGGATTGTATAAAACGGATCAAATGAGATTTTTTTAAATTATACGTTTTTAATAGTAACTTTCGTACTGTTTTGTATTTATTTCTAGCTGCCTCATAAATATTGTTATTCTCATCTGCTGTAAATGATTTATGAGAGCTCTATAGCAAATAGGCAACCAGCAATACATTTTTATAATTTTATTACATAGTTTGTCTAAATATAAATCAATGCACAAATAACAGACTTTCCCCCATTCTATCGCAGATTTTCTATAAAATGGAGTTAGTTTGAAACTCAAATTACTTTTTGTTATAAAGAAATTTGTAATTCGGCGCTTTTGAACAAGAAAAAGTCTGATATGTTGATATGTCGATGGCCGTATTGAAATTTAAAAAAAAGGAAATTGAAGCTGAATAAACAAGCTATCTGGTCCATGCAATAGCTTAGCTGAAAAAAAAATTTCCAAGTCCGCCAAGTCAGAAAAAAAAGAAAATTTGCAAAATTTTTTTGTCATTCTATTTCCTACAATTGCATAACTGTCGCTCCTTAAAATTTCAACCGAAAAATCTAAAAACTAGAATCTTAGAGCTTCCAAAATGCTTTTTTTTAATTACCGATACGACCATTTTTCACCTAAATACAGTGTCAAATATTACGGAAAAATTTCAGAAATTTATTTGAGCCTTTAATTTTTTACATTAGTTTATAAACATTTGAAACCTGATCATAAAAGGCGATTGCTCTGCTACATATACAAGGTGTTTTTAAATGAAGTAGCAAAAATGGTACCAGTGAATGTAGAGCCAAAAATAAGAGGATTGAAGTAAAAATACCTTATATGAAAGTTGCACCCCTGAGGCGATATATCCTCTTAAAGGAGGGGAATGAAATTCATATTTTAATTTTTTTTTTTAACATGGGGAATGCTAGAGACACGAAACTTGGTATGAGCATCCTACTTATAAAGAGACAACTTTTCAATATTTTTTCGATCATTGGTGTATTTTATAAAGAAGTGAAATAGTCAATCCCATTGCAATATTTTATTACAAATTTTTTATATGAGGCAAATTATTTATTTAAAAATATTTATTGGGAAGACTGATTTATTGAGCAACTTTTTTACCTCTTGCAATTTTTCGAAAAAACCGATACTTTTCTAGTAAAGGAACTAGATGCGTCATCGTTCACTAAAGGGGTAATTGCGAAAATTTGTATAAATAAAGTAGGCGGATGTCATAACAAATAAATTGTTATTTATCATATTAATAAATTGACACTTTCTTTCAACCAATAATTAGTACCTTTTGATTAATTTATTATCAGAATAATTATGGCAAATAATATTTATACCAATGACGAATATGTCGACATGCTCCAAGTGTTTTTTGAATCCAGGGAAAATAGTAACACTGCAGTAAGATTATACCACCAAAGATATCCGAACCGACCGATTCTTCATAGAGAAACATTGACCTCGGTGGAAAGAAGGCTTCGCGAAACTGGTAAATTTCAGCCCAATCGTGAGGGTGCCAGAAGAAGGCGTAATGTCCGAACTGTTGAAACTGAGGAAGCTGTACTGGAACAACTAGAAGAAGACTGTGGTACAAGCACAAGACAGGTGTCCAGGCAATTGCAAGTTTCTCACAGTCTTGTGTGGAATGTAGCTCATGAAAATCTTTTATACCCTTTTCACCATCAACCCGTGCAAGAATTGAATGGCCTGCGTGAATTTTTGTCAATGGTACATTAATATTTCCAGGCGTGACTTAAATTTTCTAATGAATATACTTTTCACCGATGAAGCCAATTTTCCTAAAGTAGGTGCAGTAAACCTTCATATGTTCATTCATGGTCGGAAGAAAATACTCATGAAATATTTGTTTCAAGATGTCAACATAATTTCAGTTTAAACGTTTGGATGGGAATTGTAGGAAATACTCTAGTAGGTCCTTTTATTCTTCCACACAGGCTTGGAGCGGCCGAGTATCTTAGATTTTTGAACGAAAATCTTCCAACATTACTTCAGGATGTACCCCTCACTACACACGTCAGGTGATGTGGTATTTGCATGATGGGGCGCCTGCACATAGTACACTTGCTGTTAGAGAATGGTTAAATTTAAATTACCCGAATCGCTGGATTGGTCGTGGTCGTGATGTCCCCGTTTGTTGGCCTGCACGTCCACCTGACCTAATGCCTATGGATTTCTTTTTGTGGCGACACATTAAAAGTATTGTTTATGCCACTCCTATTGCCTCCTTAGAAGAACTACGCTTAAGAATATTTCAGGCAGCAGATGACCTTCGCAGTAACCAAGAACTGTTTATGCGAGCGCATTTCAACAGAAATATTAGGTTATGTTTGTAGCAAAATGGAAATTATCTCGAGAATATTCCTTAAATTTAATTTTGCATTTCTGGTTTTTCATTTGTATTAAATTTTATTTCAGATAAATAAGTTTACCTAATATATGTCCCATAGTCAATTTTTTTCATTAATTAATAGCAAATTATTCTTAATGTTATTATTAAATTACCAGCTTATTGACAGAAAGTGTCAATTTATTAATATGATAAAAAACAATTTATTTGTTATGACATCCGCCTACTTTATTTTTACAAATTTTCGCAATTACCCCTTTAGTGAACGATGACACATCTAATTTTTTACTAGAAAACCATAGGTTTTATAGAAAAATTAGAAGAGGTAAAAAAGTTGCGCAATAAATCAATCTTCCCAATAAATATTTTTAAATAAATAATTTGCTTCATCACTCCTTTATAAACTACGCCAATGATCGAACAAATATTGAAAAGTTGTCTCTTTAATAATAATAATAATAATCTTATTTATTCCCAGAGACAATATGTACAATTGTATAAGGATGTGTCAAAGAAAACCTAAAAACTAATACGACAAGCCATAAAATGCACATACAAGTAAAAAAAGAAGTCAAAATACACAACTTCATCCAAAATATTCATTCAAGCTATATGGACATGGACATAGTTCCAATAAGAAAAATTTCAGTCGTTTTTTAAACAAACATAAGGTATTACAGTCTTTTGTGTCACCTGGTAACTTGTTGAAAATCTTAAGGCCCAAACAGCTTGGTGAATTTTTAGTGACATTTAGTTTCCTAAAAGTTATATAAAAATCATGTCGGTGGCGGGTACTAACCTGACGAGAGTCGATATTTTTAATAAATTTAGTTTTATTTTTGAATATATTCACAGTTAATTCAAATATATATAAACCCGGTAATGTTAAAATACGGTAATTCTTAAATAAATTCCTACACGAACACAAACGACCAACATTTGCAATGCATCTTAATATTTTTTTTTGACATAAAAATATATCATTAGTCAAAGTAGACCCACCCCAAAAACAGATGCCATATGCTAACCTACTTCTCACTTGAGCATGGTATAAATCTATAAGCTGTTGTGTCGTAAGCACTTTTTGAAGATTTCGAAACAGATAACATATGGAATTCAGTTTGGAACAAAGACTGGAACAGTGATATCTCCAAGATAAGTTTTTATCAAAATTAATTCCCAAAAATTTTACTTGACATTCGCTATTGATAGGGCTATTATTAATTCTCAAACTTAAGTTGCTAACCGATTTTTGGCGATTATGAAATGTTACCGAGCGAGTTTTTGCCGGATTCATATAAAGATTATTTTTATTAAACCACTGATGTAGTTCATTTAAAAGAAAATTACATCTATTCTCCAATACATTCCAATCACTGTCTGCAACAAGAAAATATATATCATCCGCATACATTGTGATGTGAACATTAGATAGAACAGCATGTATATCGTTTATATATAGTAAAAACAATACAGGGCCCAACACAGAGCCCTGAGGTACCCCTAGATTGGATGTTAATTTCTCAGAACTTATATAACTTAAACAAGAATGTTACTTATGTTTTATACCTACATACTGTTCACGATTGTTTAGGAATGATTTTATCCATTTTAAAGATCGTCCTCGCACTCCAGATTCTGATAATTTGCCAAGTAAAATACTATGATTAACGCAATCAAACGCTTTGCTTAAGTCACAGAATATTCCCAGTGGACACTTACCAGATTCAATAAACTTTAAAACAGTTTCGTAAAAGGAATTATTATTAGGATGCTCATACCAAGTTTCTTGTCTCTAGCATTCCCCATGTTAAAGAAAAAAATTAAAATATGAATTTCATTCCCCTCCTTTAAGCGGATATATCGCCTCAGGGGTGCAACTTTCATATAAGGTATTTTTACTTCAATCCACTTCTTTTTGGCTCTACATTCACTGGTACCATTTTTGCTACTTCATTTAAAAACACAATGTAAATTATTAGAACACCGAAACTCTACTTACCCACAAATATACAGGTGTCCATTATTTTCCCCAATAACCTTCCACACTTCATCACTTTCTTTCTCCAATAGATGCGATACATAAACCTTTTGGGGTTGGTCCCTTGAGAAAGCCAGGTGTAATTTGAGAAGCCCTTTGTTTTCATACGCCAAAAGCTCATCTTCGTACAAGAAATCTTCCGACTTCTTCCTACAACCGAAGTAAAGTATGGTGTCCCCAACCGCCTTGCCTTCTTCCTTGGAATTGTCCCTTTCCTGAATGAATCCTCTGAAAGGAGCCAGACCAGTTCCAGGACCGATCATAATGATGGGAGTCTGGGGCTTGGTCGGTAATCTGAACTGCGATTTACGTATGAAAATAGGAGCGGTAGGCAGTTCTTCGCCTTCCTTAGGAATCTTCTTGGAGAGCCAAGTAGTGGCGACACCCTTATTCTGGCGTCCTGTGGGTGTAGTGTACTCCACGACCACAGCAGTGATATGCACAGTGTTTGGATACAATTTCGGAGATGAAGAAATGGAGTAGTAACGAGGCTGAAGTCTGGGCAAGAGCTCACTGAGATGATCCAGGGCAGGTTGACAAGAAGGCATATCTTCCAAAATGTGCACTATATTCCTGTTGTCGTTTATTATCCATTTCTGGTACAGAGCCTTGCCTTCGGGGCTCGTGCTTGCCATCAGCTTCAACTTTTCCTTTTCCGCTGGGTCCGTGCAGTATTCTGCCAATTCCTTGAGAACGTGAGTTCTGGGGTTCTGAGTGATGTCTAAGTAGTGCGTGAGCGCAGTTCGGTACGTACAAGGACATGGGAACGGGTGCTTCTTGCTTGATTCCTCGTCGGTGTTGATTAAAGTGAATACGGTGTTCAAGTCTTTACTGCAATATTTACCGATCTTCTCTACGAGCTGAGAACTGTTCACGGGATAGACAGCCAAGTGGTCTCCTGCGTCATAACGCATTTTCGAAGCCTCGATGTCGAATTCGATGTGCATACAAGACCGATCGCCGGTTTTGTGCAATTCGCGATTGACCTTGATCTTTGCGAGGAAGGGGTTTTTGGCATCGTACGGTCTGAAAATAAGGTTAAATGTTATTGAAAAGATTTTGCAGGAAGTTGAACACTTACGGTCTTTGGTTTCTGAGGGAGTGGAGCCTAGCCATTTCTCCGGTGTAAACTCTATCAGGGATTTCATCGAACTCCTGTAGTCGGTACTGGCGTATACTGATGTCTTCTCCGGTGGATTCGATTCCGAAATGCTCGCAAACTACAGGCCAGAATTTGTCTTTCCATGTGATGAAGTCGTCTTCAATGCTGAAGTAAAATGTTGATTAATTTTTTTTTATAAAAATCTAAATCTCAACATATTAGAGATGTTTGACAGGTCATAAATTGGACGTATACAGGGATGGCCAGAAGTACGGAATAAAATTCATATCTCTTGAATGAGTTAATTTTTTTTTAAACGCCGAAACATGTTAACTGATTTTGATTTTTTCCCATCTTTCGGTTATATAATAATTAATTTGTATTCAACCCCCTAACCCCCAACTACCCCTACTTTTTTTTTCAAATGGAAACATAAGGCATGAGGGGGCTCGTTGAAAGGCTTATAGAAAAGTGAATCCAGCCATACCAAATAAACAAGTTTTATTTTTTCAATAGCAAGTTTTTTTTCATTTAGAAATTGAAACAACTAGATAATTTACAAAAATAAACTCAATGTCGCAAATGCTGAAAATGTCCTCCATTCACTATTTGGCATTCTCCAAGACGATAGTAAAAGCTGTCCACAGCATTCTGAATGACTTCAGCTGGTAAATTATGCATCTCCGCCCTAATCTTGTTCTTTAAATTCTCAATATTATCCGGTCTGTCCTGGTAGACTCTTTCTTTCAAATATCCCCAAAGAAAATAATCCAGGGGTGTTAAGTCGGGGGATCTTGGCGGCCATTCAACTGTACCCCGTCTACCAATCCAGCGATTTGGAAACATTTCATCTAAGTATCTTCGAACATCAATACCAAAATGTGGGGGAGCGCCATCTTGTTGGAACCAAATTCTTTCATTCGGTATATCTGGATCAATTTCATGAGGGAAAATCACAGCTAGAGCAGGTATCAGGTCAAATGTTAGGAAATCCAGGTAGCGTGCGGCAGTAAGATTTTCTTCAAAAAAGAATGGGCCCAAGATTCTGTTGTTGATGATACCTGCCCATACATTAACTTTTTGTGGATGCTGCGTATGCGATTCGCATGTCCAGTGTGGATTTTCCTGGGACCAAAAGCGATAGTTGTGCCTGTTAACCACTCCATTTAAATAAAACGTAGCTTCATCCGAAAAAAGTACGTCTCGTTGAAAACCATTATTGTCGTCACACCGTCTCATCATTTCCTCACAAAATTGTAATCGCCTATCATAATCGTCTTCCAAAAGCTCTTGGACAAGACATACCTTATAGGGGTGGTATTTCTCTTGTTTCAGAAACATTCTAATTGCAGTTCGAGAAGCATCGTGACTGCGGGCCAATGAAACAGTTGAAGTATGAGGATTTTCAACAAGTTCTAATGCAATATCTAATTTCTTTTCTTCATTCAAAGCACGTGCCCCTCCATTTTTAGGCAAAGTCTGTATTGTACCGTGTTCCTCAAATTTGTGAAATATTTTACTAACTGTCCCTTGCAAGATTTGGTTTTCGGGATATTTCGTATTAAATAAATTGCGCACTTCAGCCTGACTTCTTATTTTGTCTCCACATCCAAGCAATATCAAGATTTCGATGGGTTGCCTTTCCGACAATACCATTGCAATTCAGTAAATAACTTGATTTTGACACAATAGTAACGTTTCAAACTCCAATTTACAACTAAAGTGAAAAATTAACCAGAAAGCCTGGCAAGTAAGTGGTACCAAAAAAACGCACATAAAAAATATATATTTTTTTGTGTTAGCAGTGATAGGTACAGTTTCAAATTCTTTATTTTATTCTGTGCAAATTCATGGAGGATAACACTGAAGATAGTTAAATTTTATTTCACTTGTCAAGTAAGCCTAAAAACCTTGCTATTGAAAAAATAAAACTTGTTTATTTGGTATAGCTGGATTCGTTTTTCTATAAGCTTTTCAACGAGCCCTCTAATGCCTTGTTTCCATTTGAAAAAAAAAGTAGGGGTAGCTGGGGGTTAGGGGGGTGAAGAAAAATTAATTATTATATAACAGAAAGATGGCAAAAAATCAAAATCAGTTAACGTGTTTCGGCGTTATAAAAAAAATTAACTCATTCAAAAGATATGAATTTTATTCCGTACTTCTGGCCATCCCTGTATAAGGTTTCCATAAAATAAATAAAATACTTATTCAGGGTGTTAGAAGTTTGACTGCCTTAATTTTAACAGACGATAGAATAAGAATACATTAAAATAAATAAAAAAATCTTATATGACATAAGGTCCTAAACTCAATCATTTCCGAGAAAAAAATTATCAAAATCTCCAACTTGATGTGTACAAAAGTTCGATTAATTGAGGAATATTGACATAATTGCATGCATATATTACCATAAAATACAGCATTTATCACTTTTTTTTAACTTTCTTATGCCTAATTCAAAAAAATAATTAGCGTAATAAATTTAAAATTCGATAAAATTCATATCGAGCAATACGACAACGGCGCGGCGGTTTATTATCACGAGGTACTAAGGTGTTCAGCAACCACTAATACGCAATTCAGTTGGTATCTGGAATTGGACCTTGTCTGTGCATGTTTATTGCGTATCGCTATTTCCTTTTCTCGACGTGTTTTCCAGCAAGTGCGTGAAAATTGGATTCGAAAGTGTCGTGCGTTCATCGAAATTGGTGATGGTCAGTTTGTTTTGTACTTATGCGTTTAAACATTATTGAATTTTGCCTTTTAACGTATGATTATTTAAGCTAAAATTTAAGCACAACACTATCTTCGTACTAAAAATTTGATACATTTTATTTTATTTATTTAAAAACTGGAAAACAATTGTCTTGAAATTTACTAAATGTTTCACAATAATAGTTGTTTACATTTTTGTTATTCCGTAGGACAAGTCTGCCGCGTGCACACGTGGTGTGCATCAGCTGAGTAGCATTAGGTTAAATGCTGTTGTCACGTTGTGATGAAACTCCCCAATACTCGCTGTATTTTGAAAACTGTTAATCTTGCGCCCCTTTAATATACACCTTTTTTGATCATTTACGATTACTCTATCTCATGCCAATAAGTAATGGCATTCAAACTTCTTACACTTATTTGAAAATATTTGTGTTTTAAATCTTAATGTTTGAAAAAAAAATGAAACAGTTTCGTTTTCGATGGACATAACCTGGAAAATATTGTAAAATTTATGTTTTCTTCACATTCACTTTACAAAAATAAAAGTCTTTAAAATGGTTTTTTGGGCGAGAACTATACTTTTAGAGATACCTATGTATTTTTTTTAATGGAATAATTGAAATTCAAAAAATTTCAACAATTTTGGCAAACATATTACGCATAGCGCATATTAAGTAATCACGTGTTGCGAAACAAATAACTAAACAATGGTAATATAGCCCCCATTTAAAATGTATGTTATTCTGTAAGCGTTCCCGTACTCACTTTGCATCATCATCGCCAAGTCCAAGGTCAAACACGCGAGTTGCACCTAATTCCTCTAATCGCTTGTCAATGTATATTGCAACCTTGTTGTAATGTTCGTAAGTTTTATTTCCCAATCCAAATACCTGAAAGTAAGAGAGAAAATCGTTGTTTATGCCTTTTTTCGCCTAAATGTTACAGAATTTTTAGAGTCGGTCCTGTACCCGTCAACTTTTTGCGTATTAGGAATAAATAATATGTAGGTATGTAGGTACTTAAATAATTAAGAAGGACTTAATCTTTTTGATAAAACTCATTTATCTCGACGATACTTAAAAATGTAGCTTTAATTGACCAATAATTATAGATACAGTTTTGATAAGTAACTACGTCTAACCCAAAGAATAAATTATAAGACTTATTCATTAAACCGATAATTTTTTTATATGAATCTAATCAGCAAGATGACTGGTTACTGATTAGTGATTATTGATTATTTTAATTGATTACATTTTTTAAAATAACTAGTGGAAACTTTTTGTTAAATTTATAAGATTGAAGGAATTTAGTTAAAAAAAAAACAGGTTATGTTTAGAATTTTTCCATGGGACATCAGTCGATGGGAGCAACTTTTCCAAATTTTTGGTAAACAACGCACCATTTAAATAATCAATAATCGGAATTCATGTATGGAGAATTATTCGATATGCATTTTAATGAAATAAAATTTTAGACTTAGCCTTTCTTTAATTCAAATGTAGTAAATACCTACTGGCTTTACTAAGAATTTATAAGATTTTAAAGTAAATTAAACTTTTACTATCAAAACATTTTTCGGTCCGGGCATAAATGGATGGAAATTCATCCTGTTTTTTTTGTTCACATTCATTGACGTCATCCGTACCTTAATTTTTATATGAAGAAAGCTGAATTGACTTTACCCGGTGAACCCAATGACGCAAAACAAATAATTCTCACCGCCGATAAACAGGTTCATGAAGTGTTCGCAAAAGAAACAATTATTCCAATTTTGCCTGTCATTTCAAATTGGCAACAGCGATAGTTAAGATCACAGTAGACCTTTTTATTAGCGACATCACATACGCCAAATAATAATGCACATTTTCACGAAAAATTTCTCAATATTTTCACTAGATCGATTTTCGACTTTATGTACTTTGGACATAAGTGGCAAAAGAATGTCTTCTTTGTCGTGACTTCAAACATCGCGATATTCTGGCATTATTAGAAATATTTAAGAAGTGTCAAACCCCAAGTAACAAACAAATAGAATTTATACAGGGTTTCAGAACTTATCCAAAAAAAAAATTCTGGATGTACAGGGGACCCTTACAAATACAATTTTGTAAAGAAAAAAATCAAAAAGGTCAGTTCGAAATTGATTTAAAAATACACTTCTGCACGGCACTGGAAACTGGTCCACTGTAAAACCTGACCTCGCACAATGCGACCGGTATGGCGGCGTGATAAAAACGGACAAAAACTTTCGCAAGGAAAGAAATATGTAAATAGAATTTTATCGCACCTATTTTATATCGGCAAATTCAAATGCTTTTGCCTTTATTAATTATTAATAAAATTAATTTGTGTTTTTAAATAATAAAATCAATTGACATAACCGATTCTGCAACAGCAATTGTTCAAAATTTTATCCACTCACGTGTAAACACATTTGGGTCCGTCTTACTCACTTTCTATGAACTAACACAAATGTTGTCTTGCTTCACCATAACACAAATACTTCACCATAATACAAATGTCGTCTTGCTTCACCATAAATTAAAACGATATCCATCAACTCTGAGTTGCTATACACACAAGCCATTTTTGACACTACTAAAAAACCGATGTAAATACCACAGATAACAGGTAAAAACTACCGCAACGACGGATTTCAGTATTAGGAGTCACATGGCTCTCCACGCGTATTGCGAATGACGCTAGAGACTACAGTTGTCCAGCTATGTAATGGTTTAATGTGCTATAACTTCAATAATAACCCGAGCATGCGCATTAGGAATAACACGACCAATTTTTACTTTATTTCAATTTAGGAATATTCTTTTATATCGTTTTTATAAGTTTTAGGCACATTAGTGTATCTATTTTACAAAACACGTGCGCTTTAAATGGTTTTAAATTCATGTAAAAATAAATTAATTTGAAGTTGTTCATTTCTATAGTATCTATGTAAATAGTACACCTGTACAATTTCACGTATGAAAATTTTTTGCGGGTTGCCTAAATATGTGACGTCATATATTTAGGCAACAACATAGTAACTTTAGGAGAAGCAAAGCAAGAAATCACAAAATTGACATACAAGTAACCATAACCAAACTTTCTTGTGGCTACTTCGCTTACATGAAATTATCTTTAATGCGCATGCTCAGTAACACATAATTTTAATTTATTAATTACTTTAAAAGTCAATACTGTTGTATAAATTTAAATATACAAATTCTATAATTTTTTTAGTTTGTCACTTGGGATTTGAAACTTCATAAATATTTCTAATATTGCCAGAATGTCGCTATATTTAAGGTCATGTCAAAGAAGATATTTTTTGGCACTTATGTCCAAAGTACGTCGATCTAATAAAATAATTGAGATATTCTTCATGACAATGTGCACTATGGAGTTGCCTATTATTTGGCTGGTGACGTCACTACTAAAAAGGTTTATAAGCAATAACATTAAATTTAATTTTTTTACATTTTACACATTCTGATGAAAAAAAAAAACAAAAATTATATTGTTCATTGGAGTGCTATTGAACAGCAAAAATAATAAGGTTATTTCTGAGGTTGTCTCAAAAACATACGTTCCAAGAACAAGGTAATTATATATTTTTTTGTGCTAGTGGAATTCATTTAATAATTTTAATTCTAGCTCATTATTTGAGTACGAAATTTAAAATACACCTGATGATTCATTTTTAATTATTTCCGTAATATTTATGGCTTAATATTTAAACTGCAAGTTTTTTTTTCAAAATCGATAAGAAAACTTAAAATTTTGAACAGATATAAAAAACCTTACACTTGGTTATTTGTAATGGGATCTTGAAAACAATAAGAGAGGAAAAATGAGTACCTAACTGGGAAAGTTATTTTGAAAAAAAAATAAAATAAAAAATAAAAATAAATATTACTAATGTTGCATTGTACTTTATATTTGTGACATATTAATGGTATGTCCTATACTGTACAATGGCTTTTATAAAAAATATCCATCGCTCTAGAACGAGCGAAAGATGAAAAAATAATATTTAATTATGTTTTAATATTTCACAATTTCAAACCGGATTAAAATCCACGGGAACACATTACCGATTTGTCATACCTATTTACCTTTATCCGCCGCGATTTTTTACCACGGTTTCGAATCGATATGTTCTTATCTAATTAGCGGGCGTGACATAATTAGTTATACTAGGGAATTGATATAAAAATCTCCGACATTGACTTACAGCGTAATTCAGTCCGGTGAGGTCGGCATCTCCGTTTTGCAGCCATTCGTAGAACTCCATGGCATTGTCTGTGGGGTCCCCTTCGCCGTAGGTCGCCATGCAGAAAACGGCGAGCGAGTTCGGAATCGATTTGAGGTTAACCAACTCTTCCTGAAAAAAAAAAGAAACGTACAAGTTTGAGTAAAAAGAAGGGCGTAGTTTGGTTAATTTAATAAATTTTATTGTGCAGGTACACAGTGGCGGCCGGTGCGGGAGGGGTCCGGGGCGCCACTCCCTTGGAAATTATCATAGAAAAAAAAATTATTTAAAATTTAGTTTACAATGTTATTATTATCTACATAATTAAATAGATTAGCTTTATGAAACACATTAAAAAGGAAATGTTAAATTTGTAATGTGCAGTCAATTTAACTCGACTTGCAAAATTATACGTGAGCTCCTCATAGTTCGCCCCTAAATCTGTAAAGTGTTCACAGCGGTGGTCATGGTTACCGCCGTAATCAAGTAATAGTTATTCATCGCTTTTTTTCTCATTAAACGTAATTTGTTTACGTGTGGGGTAAAATTTTGTTACCTACGTATTGTTTCTTGTTTTTTTTTTAAATATTGTAAGTAAAAGTTTAAATTATATTGCAAAGACAGACTAACAGCACTTGCAATGAAAAATCAGTGGTGCGAGAAATACCAAACTTAAATGAAAAAGTAATTGAACAGTTTATTTCGGGTAAAAGCAGAAGAGTGGATTTTTACTATAAAAAATAATGTTGAGAATATTTTCACTATATTTCAATAGTACTTAAAATAAAACTACTACCCAATTTGACTTTTTTCATATTTTGAACCCTTTTTTTTCGCCCTCCCTGGTATAGAAGTCAACAACCGCCACTACAGGTATAATAAAAAGTAAAAAAAAATATGTCTAATACAGGCTGTTACAAATTCGCTTCTCACTACAGGAATCACGGAAACGGTAAGAGCTACGAATTAGCTTAAATGGGGGCAAAGTTGCGTAATCAGGGGACCAACATTATGCCTCTAAATAATCAAGGCTAACATGATTAGTTTTCGAAATATTTGAAAAAAAAAACGAAATTTTGGAAATCCGATTTTGTTTAATTTCAGCCTTGTTTGAGGTGATATGAGATGATATTTTTTCAATATCACCTCAAACAAGGCTGAAATGAAACAAAAACGGATTTCCAAAATATCAGTTTTTTTTTCAATTATTTCGAGAACTAATCATGTTAGCCTTGATTTTTTTCGATAGTTTCCGAGATCCCTGTAGTGAGAAGCGAATTTGTAACAGCCTGTATAAATAAAGTACTTTCAGACAATATCTTCAATAGAAGAAGCAAATAAATTAATTCATATTTGAACGAAATTGAGCAAGATCCTAATTTCCAAAAACGTGGAGTACATACTAGTGATGTAACGAATGCCAGTTTTTAAGCATTCGCGAATGCGAACATCTGTTGTTAACATTCGCGAATGCGAATACGAATATTCAGTTTTTAAATCTAGCGCCGTTTATCTATGATTCAAAATATGCCGCGCGTGACGCACATAATATTTCCGGTGACAGCGGCGCTAGAGGTTAAAGAAATTAGCGTTGTTAATTTGGTAGAACGGTATTTTTGTATGATTGGAATTTTGTTTTGTTTTCGCTACCGGCTCAGATGAGTTTGTGAATTGTGAGGTTAGACTGCTGTCAGTTATTTCTTAACTTTTTTGTTTAATTTACCTAATATTGTCTTCACATTCTGTATTTTTCTTTCACGTTCATATTCGCAAAATATTCAAAGATATTTGCGAATGCGAATATCATAAATCAAACGAATATTTGCGAATGCGAATGCGGATATTCGTTACATCACTAGTACATACTGACTAATCGTTTACCACATATTACATTTAGTTTTATTAAGCATTGCCTATTACATAATAAAATTTACGCAAAAATTGACAAGAGTTCATTACCAAAAAGTAAGTAGAGTTTGCTCTATAAACTTTTTTCCTGCGCGACTCGATATTCGAGATACAGGGTGTACAAAAAAATATATATTCTCTGCCATATCTTCATAATACGCTGACAGAATTGAATGAAATTTACTACAGCGTAATCACTTAATTAGACCTATAGAGGAATTTATCGGCATGATTTTCCCTGAGGAGATTGTAATTTTCCTCTATTTACCACAATTCCTCTAGTGTTTAAAAGTTCAAAATGAACTGCAACTTCAGGAATAAATAAAAAAAAAACTAGTTATAAAACTAAAACGAGATCATCGTAAAGCTTACTAACAATACTAACAGATAATGCAAAGGTATCAATTTTTGCAGATGGATTTTAAACAAATATGAGCATGTGTACTAAATTTGCGCATTATGCTCGGCAAATAAGTAAATTATCTCCTAAACGGCTGCTACTATTAAAAAACACCAAGAAACACTTGTCATTTTTTATTTAACGTAACAGTACGTGAATGTAACATTATTTCTACAAAAAAACACCACTGGCGTATTTTTTTCTTGGGAAACGGAGTGGCACCTTCAGTACCACGCCACTGGTTAATGTCACGAGGTTAATATTACATTCTATAAAAGGTCTAATTAAGTGAATTCGTTGTAGTAAATTTCATTCAAATCGTTCAGCGCATTATGAAGATCTAAACATATTTTTTTTGGAAATTTGAACACCCCGTATCTCGAATACCACGTCCCCCAGGAAAAAGGTTTATAGAGCAAACTCTACTTATTTTCTGGCAATTAATCCGTAGTTGCTGTATATACATACAGAAAAATGGATAGATTCCATTCAGAAAGTCGTAATAAAAGACGTATTTATCTACGTCCTGTTTTTATTGCATTTTTACGTACGTCGCTGTTTTCACGTAAGTAATATTTCGACCTAAACTAGAATAAATGAAAAATTCCAGTTATTAATTAATCTTAGTATCTCTATTATTTAAATCATTTCCAATAATATTTATAATAGCCGCATTGTACATTTGAGTATATTTTCCTGCATTAAGGGAAGGGTATTTGTCGGTGTAATTAAATTGTCCCAATCCATTAACAACCCTAGTCCAGGGATAATGACTAAACACAATCAATTCAACAATCAAATCTTCGATAATTAGTAATTTGAAACAAATTATTATTTGAGTAAAACATTCCTATATTTTTAAATTAATTATCACAACAATTTCACGTGAGTAACAGTATTAGCTATTTTATAAAATACCGTAAAAAGCAAAAGTAGTTTAAACTTTGAACTTTTTGCTTCAAATTAATGTGGTGGCTATTAAAAGTAATTACTTAAATCACTAGGATCATATACATGTTTTCCAATAACCATAATACCTTGAAAACTTTTTATTAGATAATAATAATGTCATGACAATGACACAAGAAATTAACATCAGAAAGGACGATAATTCCTGTATGGGGTAAGTAGCTTTTATGAAATTAAATAATCTACTTTTTCATATTCATCAGTTTATGTATTTAACGGAATAGTAAAGCAAAAACCCTCAGATTACAATGAATGGATAAAAGGAAGATTTCCAGCCGCAACTTTCTCGCATATCATTATCCACTTCTATGAATGACGAAGTCAAGGTTAATTTTGTTCCGATACAAACCGAAAGATTAGTTTGGAATTGGAATTAAAAAGTAAACACGTGTCGCTTATACCCTAATAATCCCCGATATAGTCAGTCCAGTTATGAACTATTACATATTTAAAATTTAAATAAATTACTTCCAAGGTTAATCATACGCACGCACATATGAATCTACCAATGTTAGGGGATTATGTAATTCATTTTGCACTATTCTATTCTTAGAATTTCCTAATCAATATTAACAATGACATAGAAAAAAAAAGTGTAGCATTTCCTGCCATTGTTTCAAAGCCTTCTGTTTAATACTGTGTATAACCACAATCTTATAGATGTGAAACTAATCAATCAGTGAAAAATTTTTTGTAGTTTGCTAAAGTACAAAAACAAATAAATTCGACCTTACTGAACAAAAAAGCGAACATATTGCGTACCGCTGAGGTTGAGAGGGAATGACACGTCGTAGTAAGTGATTCAGCCATAGGGATAATCATTAAATAAGCTGTAGGTTCTCCAACCGATGCTGTGTAGAGTGCATTATTAGAAATATTATTTTCTGCCATTTTTAGGCACTTTTAGCAACCGTCGTCGTCTAAGTATACGACAAAGTAGGAAAAACTTCCAATTAATATTTCTATGTTGACGTCAATTAAGACTTACCATGTCGCATTCCTCCGGATCAGCCACCATGCCCTTCAGTCTATACCTAACCCCTTCTTTGGCCAATCTGGTGGCAAATTCTTCGCCCGTGCCCGTTTGGCTTCCATAGAATACGACTAAGCTTCTTCCGGACGTTTGCAGTTTCTTAATGAAGGAGTTGTCCGAGGAAGTTTGTAGGGCCATCGATGTAGGTCTGAAAAATATATATACATTAACACCTTCCAACGGTTCATATTTTGTTAAATAATTAATTAATCATCAGTGATTATTAATGGAGCCTACTTTTTTAACTGATTATTATAAAAAATTAATGAACTTGAACATAATTATATGTCGCGCTAGTTTTGATTGATGGCACAAGCATTTTTATTTGAAATTGCTTGTTACAAGACACTAAGAAATATATTTAAGTAATGTAACTGTAAGTGGAGGTCAGTTTTTTAGAGGTAATAGTAAGTGTTTTCCAGAATACTAAGCCCGAGTTCGATTGTATGCGTTTACGGTATGTTGTTAACTTTTAAAATCAAACTAACGAAATGTCCGAGAACGAAATTGTAATGAAACATGATTATACAGGGTGATCCACAACTTATCCAAAAAAGTTTGGGCATGAGAAATGGAGTCAATATCGTAAAAAAAATGTTTGTAAAATCCTTAGTTTCCGAGAAAAAAAATATTGAAGTTATAGTACATTCAACCACTACATAGCTGGACAACTGTAGTCTCTAGCGTCATTTGCCACGCGCCTCAGCGACTCCGAATACTGAATTCGGATTTTGCAATCGTCGTTGCGATATTTACCTGTTATCTGTGGTGTTTACAATATGTTTTTAGTAGTTAGTGTCAAAAATGGTTTGCGTGTACTCGGAGTTGATAGATATCGTTTTAATTTATGGTGAAGCATTTGTGTTATGGTGAAACAAGACAACATTTGTGTTAGTTCGTAGAAACTGAGTACAACGGACCTAAATGTGTTTACACATTGGTGGTTAAAATTTTGAACAATTGTTGTAACATCGGGTATGTCAAATGATTTTATTATTTAAAAACACAAATTAATTTTATTAATTAATAAAGGCAAAAGCAGTTGAATTTGCCGATATAAAATAGGTGCGATAAAATTCTATTTACATATTTCTTTCCTTGCGAAAGTTTTTGTCCGTTTTTATCACACCGCCATGCTGGTCGCATTGTGCGAGGTCAGGTTTTACAGTGGACCAGTTTCCAGTGCCGTGCAGAAGTGTATTTTTAAATCATTTTCGAACTTTTTGATTTTTTCTTTACAAAATTGTATTTGTAAGGGTCCGCTGTACATCCAGAATTTTTTTTTTTTTGGATAAGTTCTTAAACACTGTATAAAAAAAAAGATAAATTGCCTTTGTGTCGACATCTTATTTTAAAGTCGTCTATTTTTTTTGACAGCAATGCGAACGATGATTTATTAAATATTAACTATGTAATATGTGGATAACTAGTCCAATTAAATGGGCCTCTAAGTCGCAATGTTGGTCAACTTACCTGAATTTTCTATAGAAGTTAGTTTGAGGTATATAATAACAATTAGTGACAGTAATTTTGTTTTCAACCCCCGGCCAGGGGTGAAAAAAGATAAAATAAAGCTAACACAAAAGGAGTAAGAGCTAAAAAAAAATTTCTTATAAAAGTTGTAGAGCATAAAATTCTATATAAAAACGGTCGTTTGACTTTTTCTTGTACTATTAAAATTAACAGAGTTAGGGACTAGAAGTTAAGTTATGATTTCAGAATTTTTAAAAATCATGACAAGCAGAAAAATGAAGGAATTTTATATTTTTTTTTTTTCAATCTACACTAAAAAATCTAAACTTACTAAGCAATAGATATATTTTTTAATTTTTAATAAAAAATTATGACAATTTCACAAACCGAAAGTGATTTTTTATCTTTGGCGTAAAACAAAATTTCGAAAGCAACTTTTCATTATTTTAAATAATCAATCGAATGGCATAGAAAAAAATCGTTTTAGTGTTAAAGCATAAAAATTAACGATTAAACATTTGATATTGTAATAACTTTTTTATTAAAAATTTAAAAAATATTTATTTCTCTGAAAAGAAAGTTTACAATTTTTAGAGTAGATTGAAAAAAAATTATAAAATTCATTCATTTTTCTGCTTAAGTAGACATATATGATTTTTTAAATTTCTGAAATCATCCCTTAACTTCTAGTTTCCCTAACTCTGTTAATTTTATTAGTACAAGAAAAAGTCAATAGACCTTTTTTATGTAGAATTTTATGCTCTACAACTTTTAATTTCTATTTCGATTTCTTCGATTTTTTTTCTAGCTCTTACCTCTTTTGAGTTATTTTGAAAAACCCTTTTATTTTATTAGAATTAAGATTTAAAGGCCAATTTAATTGGACCAAGACATATGTTACTAATTGCAGGTAAAACTAATCTACTTGTAGGTATGTTTTAAAATACTTAATTTTGTTATTTTATAGGTACAATATACACAATAAAAAATAAATAAAAATACTGATACATTTGACATAATATTCAAAATCATTTCAAGTTTTTAATACTTAAAAGCACGGTGGTTAGATTGTGGATCTCAGTATCAATGATCTCTGACCGAGCCTATGACATTGATCTCACTTAGGTGAATTACATAATATCAATACATTTGATGTGATATGACAACGGCCAACGTTAATTCTGCGAAATGAGAATAGACGAACCTGTCGCTTAATTTTACTAAATTTTTGGTTCATTGGTTTACGAGAAGGGGATTGTGTTATTAGTTTCCACTGGAATCGACACGGTACATGTAGATTTGTAATTTATTTCAGTGTTTACTGACAGTACGACGTGTTTGTGTGTCGTCATTGTTAAGTTTCTATGGAATATCATGAGGAAAAACAATGTACATGTATCAAGGAAAATGACATTTGACAACAATATATGTCATAGCTCAAATTGAAATCTAATGACCTTTTCCACTGGAACTATTAATTTATCATTTAATGGAAGTTACTAACGACTTGCATTGTTTAAAAACAATATATTTGTTGATAACGGTCTTATTACTGAAGTTTATCGATAAACATTACACCTACGTATACACTCATTTATACATCAGTAATTTTTTAAATATTTAATTGTGTTGAATAGCTATTTTGTATTTATATTTGTACTTATCGTATACAGTGTCTTCTAGTACCAAAAACTATAATAGGCGAAATTAAAGCAAACCCAATTCCTAATATTACTGGAAATATTCCTATAATTTTACTCCATTTGCTGATTCTGGCCCCATCTAAAATACTAATAGGTACATTAAAGAACTTACTGTATTGAATACGATTTTCCATTGGCCACCACGGTATTCTTCTTGCTTCTGGTGAGAAGATACCAACTGACCCCTCCGACCAATAGGGCCATCAGGATAAGGTCCGTGGTGCTAAAAAGGGGATCAGATACCTCAGGGATGGGTTGTGTACCAAGCTTCGCTTCTGATTCGTCCATGATTGCACCCTGAAAAAATCACAGCTGGTCAGTAATGGAACAAAAATTTGTAACCTTAGACGACACACGCAAATAGATAAACAAAGTGTCCCTTCAAAAACTTACATGTATTGAGATATTTCTCAAGTAAAATTAAGAAAAAATAAATAATGAATAATAATTTATAATGAAATAACTGTAACAGTTAAAACGATAACAAAACTAAGATATTTATTAAATATTTTTATTTATATGTTGGCATGACATTTTATATTTTGTAATCGTCAGAGCATAAAAGATAAACATTCAATTATCATTGTGTCTGCGTTAACAAAGCAAATATCCAATTTATCCTGCTTTATATTTGGAAAGTTTATTTATTATTACCTTCCAAGAATCATGGCTAACCAAGGTACTTTAAGCAGTAAAAAACTGGCAGACTCATTCAAGTTCGTCAAAAGTGACCTTTCATTTACATACATTTAAACATTCTTACATTATTCATACATAGAAAGTGTTACAGATATAATACCATTTACGAAATGTGCTTACGGCTTGTTTCATTTAACGACTTCTAGATCCTAATAAATAAATGATCGTTTACTCTTTTTAATGGGTTTAAAAAATCGTAAATTTTTCCATTAAAATTAGCAACATAAGGTAAATTGTAAGCTTTGAAGCGATAGATATATCCAGTTTTTCAACAGTTACAGTAATAATTTTAGTACACAGAAAAAAAAGATTATTTTGAATCAAGAATGAACAAAGTAATTAAAAATTCAGTTTTCAGCTGTATAAAATGACACCTGGCCTGTTAGTCCTGTAGCCAGGGGGGTCCCAATTGCCTCCTTCATTTAGATGGAGTTACCCAAGTGTTTTTTTGTGTATTTTGAGCTGTAGAACACGAATTTTTTGGGTAGAAGTTTGCCCGGATGTCGATAAGTTTTTTATTAACAAAAAAAACTGAACTTAGTTTCTGGCAAAATAAAAAGTATTTTCCTATTCTTTGACCCATTTTAAGAAGAAAATGTCTATTGCAATTTTTTTGTTAAACGCATAGTTTTCGAGACAAACGCCGTTAAAAACTCGAAAAATGCTTTTCTTTTGATTGAATAGGTATTTTGTAATTCTGTTGACGGCGTTTGAAAGTTCACGTTAAATACTACAAATTATGAGTAATTGCAGTGTGAAAATTTGTTTTTTCCACTATTTGAAGCTGAAAGTTTTATATATTTCTGGCCATTTTGAAGCTACTTTTCTTACAAAAATGTACAAGATGGTCCTTCTTAATACATTATAATATATTATGGCACACTTTTTCTTGTCTTTATTATTATTGTTACAAGAGTTACATATAATTTTTATTTTCATACATTTTTTCATATTTGAAAAAATAATAAAGAAATTAGGAGGTGACATTTACGGTGAACCATACTCCAACCTTAGCCTACAGCACTTTGATAAATACTTAATTCAAAAATTTTCTAGGAACAGAAATAATAAATTTTATCAAAATTGATCCATATTAAATTTTGTGAGTTTTGTTTGCACTGCATTGAATCAGTTTTTTCAATGAAAATTGTGACCAGAACATAAACTAACCTTTAAAAATCTTTCAATATAGATAAGACCTATTGCATATTTTTTAAATTCAAATTAGTAATGAAAAAATGTGGTAATGAATGGAAAAAATTAGTATCAATTTTTTTCAGTAAATGACGATCCTATGAATTCCAAAACAGTATAAAAATGAAACTGTTTGCAGACGAACTTTGTTAAGTTCTAACTTTTTCCATTTTGGAGACAAATATTTCTTGTAAGCAAAAAAATATGAATAAAACCAATGTACCACAAATAAAAGGTCATGAAAACATTTTCAAATCAATTTGGCGTTATACGTCGCTAAAACTCACCATAAACATGGAGCTGATCCACGAAAGTCCGTACTTAAAAACCATTTTGCATAAATAAATTAAATATATCTAGTATCACAAAACTTGTCCACCGTCTGTTTTATCAGAAACACCGAAGCACTCGCGCCTCGCGACCCAGCGATTGACTTGAGAGTGTGAAGCCGATGGCAACGACGCCAGGTTGTTAAATATATGCGATAACATCGCCGTGGTCATGACGTACTTCGTTAAATGGATAGAAACAAATAAACACCTAAATTGCACGTCCCCTTGCATGACTGGTCGATATTCGAGTCTGCAAATAAGTCCGCAGGAGAAATGACACGCTCTAGAAACTCCAGATACAATTAGATGATTCTAAATCTAAAAAAATAATTAGATTGTCTGTGCTTCAAACAGTTCCTTTCACTTTTTCATTTCATTCTTCATTCTAGATATATGTACGTTAGCTTTAAAATTGTCTGATTTTGATGGTCGGAATTTGCCGTTTTGTCAAGACTTAGCGAGCCTACCCTGTCCAAAAACTAAACTTTTTGCAATTCGAACTGTATCAGAATTTGCCATAAATTACCCCTCACAAATCAAACGGAAATTGGCTTTCGGTGAAATCGGTCGAATTTTGGATATGTTGTTCCTTTCGGTGTCCAGATCAAAAGTCTCCATGGGCACGAAGCTCGAAAATCTCCCCTGCGAGCAGTACTCAGCTTGGAAGGTTAGAGACCGGTAATCCCCGATTTTTGCTGATTCTACCTCTACCCTTGCATTTTCGGGATCAACTTTATTAGTGAAATTATTACCACAAAGTGAAGCATTATACTCAAAGCATCTTTTAATATTTTTTAATATGAAGCTTAATTTTTTGGAGCACCGTATATAAGAAAGTTCAAATTTTTACTGAAAAAAAATTATAATAGCAAATGATTAATTAAAAAACACAATATTTTAAGGTTATGAAAGTCAAATAATATTGTACCGTTATTTTTCTGTTCACAGTTTCCAGATATAATTTAATTTATATTTAACAATTTCTTGGAAAAAATGTTTGAAAGTTAGGAAACAAAACATTTTTGGACATGTTTAAGTTGTAAATTTCCGACAAACATCACAAATATATTTCTCATATCACATTTTTTTATAAATAAAGATACCCCTCTTGTACATTTGGTGTTATTTTGATTTGAACACTCACAACGACACTCTTATACGCCTATGACACGCACTAATTGTAACACTCAGACAGAATGGGATATTAAGAAGTCAAAACATGCAGCCTCTTTTTGTGAACATAAACAAAGACAGGCGCTTTCAGTAACACCTTTTTTAGATCTCGTTCAAATGAAAATATCCCGCGCTAAGAATTTCAATCAAATACGTATCGCTTATTTTTGCTCAAACACAGCACGTGGAGAGATAAGTAATACCTACTTATCAAGTTTGTGAGGATAGACTCGTACTCCGTTTATCTATTTATATTGAGGCACTTGGTCGTACCGCTTTAATTTGCTGCACTTTCTAATGTATTTCTTATAACAGATATAGGGGTCAGTGTTTGTTGTGAACTTAATCAAATACGAACTTTTCTTATATACGATATAACTATGACTTGCTCTGTCTGTTGCCAAGAATTTATGATTCGCTTAAAAGACAGTCATTATACCATTAAATTTGTCATAAATTAATCTAAAAACTATTACAAATATAAACATTTTACAAGACGAAAGTAATTGATTTTTAAATAATTTTTAAAAAACGATTAAAATAAAAGAATGTTTCGCATGGTCAGTTTCTCATGATTTATATTTCTCTAATAATTAATGCGTCTATATATGTATACAATGGGACAAAAGCTAGTTTTTATTTTTTATTTTCAAAAAAATATTAGTAATCATTTCTAGTTCCTACTATTTCTATTTTGCATGTTGAGGGTATTTACTTAATCATTATAAATTAATTAGATGTATGCATTAGGTTTTTTCTAGACAGAAACATAATAACAGCTGTTATCTTAATTGGCTTCGATGGAAGTAAAATGTCGTGATGATGACAAGTCAACAGAATTTATTTCTAGAAAATGAATTAAACATATTAAAATTATACAGAGTTGATAGTTTAACTAAAACCAATTCTGTAACTTTTAAAATCAAAAATAAAATAATTAAAAAGGATTAATGTTTCTAACACTGACGTATTTACGTTGCAATTTCACAACTTTGACCTACTGTCTACTGTTTTTTTTATTTGGCCGTCATTGTCTTCGTCTTCTCCTCTTCGTTATCATCAAAATCACTGTTCCCTTTCCGAACTTAAAGAGTGACCGCAAAGTTAGCCTATTTTCTCACCCTTACCAGAGACCTTAAAAAAAAAATCCTAAAAATATTCTGCATATGTCAAATTATTGGTAATGAAAAATCAATATGATCATATTTTTTAGTTTTTCGAAAAATGTCGAAAATCATCCCTAATTAGGGGTTGATATGATGACGCAAAACTGAAATGTATAAATAATATCAATAAGAATAAAAGCAATTCTTATTGTATTTTTTCTATAAAATAAAATCTTACAAATAGGAAATAATTTATTTTCATGATTAATGAGGGCGTGTAAGTCCACACTTAAAAATATGCTGTTTTGCGGTCACTCTTTGTCTCTTTAAAATAATTTTGTCCCAAGATCATAAAGTAAGAGTAATCTTATTCGTTCGAACTTTTACTTAAAACGGTATAATTCCAAAGACATACACATTAATATTAAGCAACAACAGACTAACCTCAAGAAAGGTCATCACTAACACGAAATAGTTCTTGAAAATTTCACTATTTTTGTTATATGATCACTCGAACTGAATTTGTACTTTTGTTACTATCTACTACTGTTAGTTTTATTCCGTAAAATATTTTATTCTACATATATGAGGAAAATAAAAGTTGAGATAATGATAAAATATGTCATCATTAATTGAAATATATCGCCATATCTTCCAAAAACAACTAAGTTCAAGGAAACTACCCTGCCATCTGATTTCTACGTAGGCATAACTAGTTAATACTTATTATTTGCGTACCTTGCTTTATCAGATTTTTAAATTAAATATTAGTCATGTTGATTAGTAACTACTTCGTTAAAAGGATAAAGAAAGATTTAGATTTCTAGACGTTATTGTGCAATTTGTTATAAATGTCGCTATTAAAATTATAATCGACAGGCAATTGAAAATCAAAAACAACATATTTTATGCCGTTTTCCAAACATCAAAAATTTGTATTAGGGAACGTTCACAATTAAAATTTATACTCATACCAAATTTTAAAATGATATTTTTTGATTAGAAATCAGTGCAAAATTAAAATGGTTGGCAACAAGTTTGAGGCATGAATGCAAATTTTAATTCTGAACTAATAAATTTATTCCCAATTTTTTATACCAAAAGGAATTTTGCATACAAGTCGCAAAAATTAAAAAGGATAAACTATGTTTGTTTAATATAATTTTTAGTATATCCGTAAAGAGAAATAAACCGATGAAATTTGCATTCTTTCTGTGCCTATCTAAAATAATGCCACTTTTATTTACATTTGTATATACCAAAAAATAATTAAATTACAGAAAGTATTTTAGAACGTTACTTACCAATAATAGGAATTGTAACATTTATTAACGTCAATGCAGTTTAAATTTCAAACAAATGTAATATCAACTACCTTTATGTTCCTAATTTTCACAGTAAATAACAGACTAGTAAGGCATTAAACGTTGCAGGTACAACGGGTGTTATAGGATAATAATTACCCTCGGCGTATCCATATAACACTCCAAGTACCTTAGTTACTATAAGCAATATTTGAAATAGTTATTCCTTCAAAAACAATATTATAATAATATAATCAATATGATTATAAATCAAAATTTATAAATGCTAATTAAGTCTTACTAGTTCCTAGTATCCTTAGGAACTTTTCTTAACCATTACAATTATTTTGTTATTTTAATAAATAATTTTTTCAGAATTTACACTTTTTCATAAAAAGTTTTATGCTTTAAAAATATGCAGAGACAAGGTTATACAGCCGTTTAGATTTCGAACAAAAAAATTGATACTATTTTTCAATGGCCTAGAAAAAATTGTAACAAGTTTCGTAGGTACTACCATTTGAGGATTTTTTTTCCAAATATACATATTTGAATTCTACTCATTGTGTTAATGGTACAACGCCCATATTTTTTTTATTGCGACATTATTATGTAATCAGAAAAACAATTGAACATCAAAACAATTTTTTTACAAAAAGTGCTACGCTATTTTTAAATTAGTCAAAAACAAGTATTAATGAATTCAATTTCCGGTCAAACCGGAAGGTGAACAACAAATTCTCGCGAATATTTCCGAAAAGTTTATAATGTGTCCCTACACCATTCTTTGCAAAAACTGAGTGTTTTTTATTAAAAAATCGTTTTCCGCCGTATCTGATTAAATTGATGTTCAATTATTTTCTCAACTGCATTTTCCGATTCCGCACAACTTTTTACATGTGTCGAATTTTGCCCCATTCAAAAAATTTAACAAGAAAAATGTAAATAATCTCTAGATCAAAAGGTAACGCCCTATTTAATATTTTTAGCTTTTGGGACACATATGACAGTAACTTTTTTTTCACTACACATTATTAATAGAACATTAGCCTTAATAAACAAGGATATTAACTTTTGTCATTTTACTTTACTTTAGAAGGTACTAAGTTGTACAGATCAAGTCTAGAAATGTTTCTATCACAATCATGGGAATTTTAGGAAAATTTTTAGATTTAATTTCAATTACCTTTTAACGTAAAATAAAAATATAATTGGTACGTTACTTCTCTAGACACTCACAACAGTCCACTTTTTCAAAACACTACTCACGTGTTCACAAGAAATAATCTGTAAATCTGAGGGATTCACACAGGTAGTGCGAATGTTGACATTTTTGTAAATGGAAAGTTCTTCAGACGAAAATCGAAATTATTGAGCACTACTCATTCTGCCATTTTATTTCTGATGGAATTCCAAAGTAGGTCCAACCACATCACAGGAAATTAATGAAGAGAATCTTTTAAATTCATCACATAACAAGAGTAGGTACCCAGTTGTTAGAGCATAACAGTTTGTAAATGCATGCTGTAATGTTACATAATTTTTTTTTGGTATATTATTGTAATCTATACAAGCAACAAATTA